CCACTGCCTCCACTGTAGATTTCACAGTGAAAAATGTCCTTTTGGTTTAAGAAAGTCAGTCCCCTTTAGTTGCATCTTTGCAGCAGCATATTCAGTGCATATTCCATTCTGGTTTTTAGTTCCAAAGAACATCCAGACATGAGAAGAGTTGTCAGACGAAAAGTCGTTGAAATCCTGTCTTCATTGATGTAGGTAAGGAGATACTCCTCACTTTGATTGCAGATGATTATTTTTGTGTGATCATGGTAAAAGTTCACCTGCAGAAAAAAATACAAAACTCCTGATTGTACTTTTTCCTCTAGCAACATTGAGGCTTAGCATGAAATGGAAAGTCACTAGCTCAGATGTGCAAGCATTTGTTGTTACAGGCACATATACTGAGCTCTGTACTACAAGAACTCACCTGAAATGTGCCATCATTGAAGAGCATCATTAAGGCTTTGTCAGATTTTAGCCACTGTAAGAGGTAAAGCCTGGGCCTGCGAACATCAGTTAGGCTAGGCAGATCCCCTCCCTAGAAAGAGAGAAGAAAAAGCCATCGTTGTCAGCTTATGCTTTGTGCAGGTTCCACTGTCTACAATTCAGATGTTGAAGAGCCACAAACTTACATCCATGAGGTTCTCCTCCATGTAATGAGAAAAGTATTTCAGAACAGTTACTTGGCTGATGAATTGTTCAGGAGCATCTGTAGCTGGAAACACAGAGCACTGACCTAGCTCAGCATAGTAATGGACTGTTCTGAAAGACACAGAAAAACCCACAAATATTAGTCAGATGTAAGCTCAGGGGTAACATTTTTGGTAGCCAGAAAAATAAATCCGTTTCTAATAACTGAAGCATTTACTTTTTGTCTGGTAGAAGGCTCATGTGTGCTCCATTGTTGAAAAGAACACCAACAGTGTGATCTGACAGCTGATAGCCAAAGCCATATTTGTTAGAGTAGTCCACCCATTTTGTAACCCATTGGAAAGATACTGTCAGCTGTTCCTTGGGAATGCCATCTGCTTCTGGCATGTTCTCGAGGCAGCCTCGCAGTACCCTTGCAACTGTATCAGCAACACTTCCCATAGTGCTGTCTTCTAGGCCTGGAAAACACAAACAAAACAGGATTTCAGTATGCAGAGAACATCATGCAGTTATCAGTTTGTCTGCAAATGCACATCTACACCCAAGAAGGATTCTAGCCTTGCCAACCCCGTCAGGTTTAAGCAATTTCCAAAACAAAGAACTCTAACCAACAATTATTTTCAGAACAAAAAGGATATTTGTTTTAAAGGTGGAAAAATCACTTATTTGATGCCTATATGTGTTTTACATCAATTTTGGCAAGGAATTAGTGCTGAATTCTGTTCTCTACTCACATTCGCTGCTACTGCTGCAGCTTCCCAGAGTTCCTCTCACTATCATTCGAATGGAGTCTCCGGTCTGTTTGGTTTCTGCAAGCATTCCAGGTTTGGCTACTGTCGTGTTAGGAGGCTGGTTTTCCTAAAATAGGGAACGTATTTATATTGATACTTAAATGCATAAGTCAACTTTTTTTTTTTTTTGCATAGCTCATATTAGACCTCCCCAGAATGTTCAGCATCAGACAGCCACCATTAAAAGTAGTCTACAATATGTTTTTCTGAATTGGTATGAGGAGACTATCAGCATCAGTTTACAGAGCATTTAGTAGCATTGTGTTCTCATTCTTTATGGAATTTGCTCACTCAACCAGGACAAAAAGCCATTTTTATTTAACAAATCTGAATTGTGAATGGGAACACTAGTCTCCAAAGTTTATAAATTCTGTGAAAATTATATGTTTTATTCTTAAATTAAAACAGTTTGGAAAAAAAGTATCTTGCAACATTCCTTAAGTGTGTGTATGATGGTACATAAATGATAATGAAGTCTATTATAATTCTGGAGATGCGGAGCAGATATTCTATACTCCTCTAAGGTTACCATACAGAAGTAAGGCAAGACATGTTTAAACTCTCTTACAATGCAACTATGAATCATCTGATGTTGGTTATAAAATAAGATAAATAATATTTTGAGACAGCCATTAATCATCCCACTCCAATGATCTGAATTAAATTTGAACATACCTCATCTATTCTGTGTTTCAGGGGCTGCTGGGTTATTGATGTCTTTTTCAAATCATGTCTAAGCTTGTAGATTTCTTCATCTTCTTTAGGCAGTTTATCTGCAATTAGAAAACAGCTAATGTATTTAACAATGCATATAAGTGTGCTTTGCAGCATATTGCATGCTATAAATACCCTAAGCCAGAAAACAAGGGTTGAATTTATGATGTACAAGTTGTTCTCATCTCCCCCTTCCTACAGCATTTTCTCCCCACCTGGAATAAACCCAGACTCTCACAAAGCAGACATGCCATTATACCCAATGATCATCAACAGTAGTGGATGTAGACAGGAACACTAGATTATGAAAGTGCTAAATAAAAACCTGCCACTATGTCATCAAATATGTTCTCATTAAGGCTGTAGGCTGCAGCCTACAGCCTATATATGCCTATACCTAGGTGATAAACAGGTCAAATTAATCCCTTCATGGACATAGGAAAGCAGTTTCCCATACTTCTTGGGGGATGCAAGGCCTCTCATCACTGCCATGACATTCGCTTCCATATACTGATAAATACAAATGCAGTTATACTTACTGTGTGTATCGAAGTATCTGGCTTTTTCCTTTTTACCACCAAAAAGAGCAGCAGCTGCTTTTTTGAAGAAATTCTTAGCTGGACTTGATAGATGAAAATCAGGAACAGTGTGACAACAGCTAGCAGAAAGTCTATCTGGTGTAAAGCCCTGCAGAAATGAAATGTAAAAACCAAGGCTTAGACTGTAGAGTGCATTTAAGTCAGAGAGAATGCTTTTGAACCAAAAACAAACAAACAAAATAAACTATGATACAAACCTGTACAAAAAAGTCATGTCGAATTATGTCGTCTAAGGTAGGTCTGTCTTCGGGATTTTTTGACAACATGCTAGCTATCAAGTGCTTTGCAGGGGCCAGTAGAGATGATGGCAGAGTGTATCTTGCTTCCCTTATACATCTGTAGGTTTCTTTAAGGTTTGTAGTTTCAAACGGGGGTCTCCCCAGTAGCATGGTATACCTATTTAGGCAAGAAGAAAGAAATTCTCAGCACTTCAATAACTGAAGCCACTGGGAAACGGTTGAAGGGGTGGGGACAGGAAGAAGGGTTACAATGCATTTCCTAGCTGAGAAGCTACTTTGGAGGTTAGGCAGACTTAAGCAATTGTGAAACTGATCCAGTTACTGCCTCTCCTTTAAGAATTCAATGCCAATCCAAGTTAGGTTATCAAGGTATCATTTCAAAGGATCAAAGCTACTTACATTACACAGCCCAAGGCCCATATGTCAGATTCACAGCCATGCCCTTGTTTGTTAAGAACTTCTGGAGAAAGGTAATTTGGTGTGCCACAGATGGTTCTGAAAGGTAAAGCAATGGAAAAGTTAGTATCTCTCTCCTGGGTTGAAATACAAAGAAATTTGCCTTTTAGAAAATTCCATGCTCAATCAAGATTTAGGCAGGAACATTAGAAACCCCTGGTAAAAATATTACAAAGTGATTGCAATATTAATATTCAGAGTTTTCCAATATGCAAGAAAGGCCATGCTAAGTTCATAACTGCAACATTAGTCATAAATCCCTCTCCCTCTAGTGCTCACCAGTTGAGAGGAAAAAAAAACCCAAACTATGCAACAGTGCACTATTACATGAAGGAAAATTCTGACCCATGGATCACGGGTGTTTCTTTTTGCTTATAATTCTCATTTATAAATAGTGTTGTTTGAGTTTATGCTAGCCCCTACATTCTTGGGACTCCCTACCTCCTCCTGTGTTCCAGAGGTTCCAGTCTTGCTGCCAAGCCAAAGTCACCTAATTTCAATTCCATAGTTTCATTAATGAAGAAGTTACCTACAAGAAAATTAAAAGAAGAGCTGGTGAGAACCTTTGCTGCAACATAGGAATGCATTAGCCGCAAGTGCTGAGTCATACTTTCAAACAAAGCCAGCAGGTAGCCAAGCTTTTTTTTTTTTTTTTTTTTTTTTTTTTTATGAATACTTAATGTCATAACTTAAGTGTTCCAAGTTTCCATTGCAAGAGATCTGACCCGATTCTATCAATTAAACCATCAGTGTGCAAATGTCTAATGGTATAATATAAATTTGTGCTGAACTAGTCCATTTTTTAAAATCAGTGCAAGGAGTGACTTACCTAGTTTAAGGTCTCTGTGCAGGATTTCCTGTTCATGAAGATACTTTAGCCCTGACACTATCTGCCTGAGGTAGTATCGTACTTCTGGTTCCGTCAGTACCTTCCTTGCTTTCAGGATATGAGCCATTGACTAGAAAAAAGGTACAAAAAATGGTTAGTTAAGAGACCTTGGGTAAGTTTTACCTTGAATGAAAACAAGGCCAATATACAGAAAAAATGACGACCTAATAAAGAAGGTATGAAATATACCTTTCTTATATTACACATTTACATTAGCTGCAGATTCCAGGTAAGTGAATAATGGATTTCTCCCATCTGATGCTCACCCTTCTGCTGCAGTACTCCAGAAGAATGTATATATTTTCTTTGTCTTCAAAGTAGTGGTAAAACTGTACAACATGTCTATGATTAAGCATTCTGTGCAGCTCAATCTCTTTGTCAATCTGAAGGGATAAAGAACAAAGGTTATTACCTTTGCTGCTCACTGAGGAGACAGCGCTAACACATACAAAACGTTTCAGGAACAGGGATGGGCAATCCAGCCAGCGCACAAAGAGATTTTTTTAAGCAACAGTCACTCATGCACACACGCACCTTTTCCCTTTGATGAGGTTTAGCTACGCGACTGTGGGGAATGATTTTTGCAGCATAGACTTTGTTTGTTGTCAGATCAGTCATCTCATAGCACTTGGCAAATCCACCCTGCAGAGACATGCAAAGAAAAAAAAATGCAATTATGTCAGGCATGAAAGAAGTCCCATGTTTAGTCACTAGGCAGATCATCTGTTAGTCAGGAGGATTTAAAGGCAGGTGTAACTTCCTCTGGTATTTGATAGAAGGGGGGTGGAGGGGGAAGGTGTGTAACACTCCCAAATCCCACCACTCTGACGTGGGATCTTTAACTGCCTGCAGAGGAGGAGGGAAGAGGGCACGCTACGAGGACCAGGCATGGAGCAGAGAGCCAGCTTGGCCTCGTGTGCCACATGCATCCCATCCCTTGCTCAAAGCAAAGCGATCCCAGACAGTGGCAGGGCACGGACACTGCTTGGCATGCTGGGGAGGGGAGGCAGCCCCTCGCCAGGTCTGCAAGCCACAGCCCTGGCACAGGCTCTTGCCCACTGCCAGGAGCGAAGAGAGAGGGAGGTGCGTGGTGGGGGGGAAGAGGCAGGAAACCCCTTCCTGCCGGCCCCGCGGATCCGAGCCCAGGGCCAGCTCCGCGCGCAGGCGGCTCCAGGCCACGCTCCGGCCATTTACCTTCCCAAGCACCTTGCCGCGGCAGTAGCGCTTGCCCGTCGTGGGGTCGGTAATAATCCGCGAGACCTCGGCAGCGGTGTGTGAGTGGTGATGCTGCTGCTGCTCCTCCGGCTTCTTCCTGCGGGACTCCCCGCTGCAGGCTCTGCTCAGCGCCTGCTCGCACATCTTGGTGCTGGCGCTCGCACTGCTACCACCCGGCTGGTACGCGATAGTCCTCAGCAGCTCCATTGCCCCGCGCACCCACCAGCCCCAACCCGCACTCCGCCGCGCCGCACAGTGCTAGGCGCTCGCCCCGGCTCCCCCGCTATATAGAGCGCGGTGACCCCGCCCCGTAACGTCACAATGGACCGCCTTCCGCCCCGCCCCTCGCGTGTTAGCCGGGTTCGGAGAGGGCTGAACAGAGCGCTCGCGGCGCGCCCTCCCCACCGGCGGGGGGCGGCCCTGCTGCGGTTGCAGCTTAAAGCACGGCCACGGGAGGGGGAGCCCCTCTGCTGCCCGCGCCGAGGCATGCCTCTGCCCGCTGCAGGGCTGACTCGGTGGTGCGGGCAAAACCCGCTGGGCGGGGGAGAGTGCGGGACCGAGCTCCCGGGACTGGAGGTCACAGAGCAGAGACGATAGCCTGGGGCCCGCCCTGCTGCCTGCCCTGGCGGGAAGGTCTCCCGCTGACCCGGGGGTGCGGGGGCGAGCGAGGAGGACCACAAAGTGCCAGGCGTCTGAGCGTCCGCCGCCGGCACGGGCTTGTGACAGGGGCCCTCAGGGGCAGGCTATAGCAAGGCCAGGCGCTTCTTTGACGGGAGAGGGAATGATTTTTAAAGGAGGCCTGAGGCAAGGAGACTGGCTATTTTGCATGAAAATCAACATGTCTTTGGAAGTGCGGAGAAACCAGACTGTTTCTTGGCCTGCAAAGGAAACCACGGGTCGGTGCAGGGCAGCAGTCGGCAACCCCCCCCCCCCATTGCCTGCTGCACCTTCTGATCCCTGTGCCTGAGAGATGTGCCCCAGTCAGCCTGAAAGCACTGCCCTTCAAGGGTGCCATGAGCAGGGCTAAGGACCTAGCTGTTTAACCAGGGCTAAGGTGTGAGAACAGGATGCCTCCTGTGGCAGGGTAGACCTTAGGGAGAGCAGGAGTGACACCTGGTGGAATAGATAGCCCACACAAAGGCAAGGCCTGAAGAAAGTTTCCTGAATTAATGAATGATAATGGACTAGGCCAGCAGTTCCCAAACTCTGACAGATTGTGCACAGGTCCAATTTAAAACAGTACAACTTTAAGTACCACCAGCAAATTTTTGTGATATAAAGTAGTTAAATTTGTTAACACATACCACTGACAGGTTGTCTGCGTACCATTGCTGGTATGCGTACCACAGATTGGGAGCCGCTGAACTAGGCTCTTACCATGACCCTGCAATGTTCACCAGCTGTGGCACAAAATGTGCAATAGACTGCCTGTGGACTCTTCGTCACTGGCGGTGTTCAAGAAGAGGTTGGACAGCCGCTGGTCAGGGGTGATTAAGGCCTGTCTGTGCCTGTGTTCTGCTATGGGTATTTCCCAAGCTTCTGGGCTTTGCTGGTTGCCTTTGCCCTTTTCTGTTACCTGTGTCAGGGTGTCTTAAGCCTTCCTCAGGGCACTGGGTGTTGGCTAGAGCTGAGGCTGGAGATTTTGACTGGGGTGTGCCAGAGGTTCCTGGCTTTAGAGGGTCTTGTCCCTCCACTCAGAGTCTCACCGATTGCCAGATCTGAGGTTAAGAAGGAATTTTACCAGCTGGTCAGATTGGTAAGGACTGTGGCGGGGTTTGCCTTCCTCTGTAGCAGGGGGGATATGTCCCTCTACCCAGGATCTCTTAAGCATATATTGACAACATTTCATAGAAGCAGGATATTGGCTGCCATGCTTCCCCTGTTTTACGTGTGGCACGTTAGGGTGTTAGATCTGTGTTGTGTTAGGGTTGAAGGCAGTTTTATGTATTGGTTACATGTATTGTTTATGGTTTGTTTGGGGTGGTTTGGCTAGAGAGAATCCTGCCTCAGGCAGGGTGTTCAACTAGTTGACCTCTGGAGGTCCCTTCCAGCCCTATTTCTCTATGATTCTATGTGCATGATTATTCTTGAACTTGATAGGACCTACAAGAAATTCTAATAATATTTTACTTGGCCGTCAATATAGCCATAGCATCTTTCTTTCTGGTGGTGTTTGGAGTTTCTGAGAGGAACTGTGGCTGGTTTGGTCTGTGTGCACTAGCTGTCTGTGGCAGCTTGTGTTCCCTTTGCTTTGTTACTTGGCGGAATGAGGGAAGGTTCATTCCAGGTTCCACTTCCTAGGGCTCCACATTTTGATCTCCATGCTTGAGTTCACTGTATGCCTTCCATACCCTGATCTACAGAGGATATGTTACTGAGTGTTAGTGAGGTTCTTGGCTGAGCTGACATAAACCTCCCTCTCAAACAAGTAAATCTATAGGGATATTTCCTAAATCAGGAGCACTTAGGAAATCAATCAATTCAGGAAGGGCTCTGAATGCAGGAGTCCTTTGTTCCTATGTTCTTGTTTATTCTTGCTGCTAAAGTTGTTTTCCAATATCCCCTCGTTATCTGACATTTGTGCTCTTCTATAATACATAATAGTTTCAACTGTTAGGATGATCCTGCTGGGCTGAAAGAGTCTGAACTTGAGGTATCATTCTGATACCAAGTGGATGTGGTTTAAATAACTCTGACAGCTCTCTTGACCTTTGTCTAAAGCAACACTTTATACAGTGTTTGCCATCCTTGGGAATATGGATTGATTGTCATGTAGTGAGGCAAGTGTCTGGAAGGGTTCTTGTCCATGCATTTCTGTGTCTGAGACCCTGGTAAGAATATGAGGCAACAGGATAGAGAGGAGGGAAATGAGTGCCCAATGGATCTAGCAAGAAACAGAGCTGCTGTGATATGCATTTCACCCTCTTTCATGGAGTGAAGCTATCCATATAAGTCTATGGGGAAACAGGACAGTGCTGAATTTGTGCCTTCTCCAGACAGTGGTCAGACTCTGACTTTTGCATGCAGTGGTGACAGCACTAGTCTCAGCTGGAAAGAGACATATAGATATTAAATACATTTCCTTTATGAGTATGATGGGGTCACTGCAGAACTAATCCAGTGTTCTGTTCAAGTATGATGACAAGGGTGACAACCTTTCTGACATCTTGCTGGCATCCTGGCCAGGCAGCTGGATAGGAAGGGTGGATAAGGGAAGCTGGACATAAGCAATTTTTTCTTTTCTTTTTTAAGATATAACTAAGGGGAACTTGGGAGTCAAGGTTGAAGCCTAGTTCTCTGCTTTTCAGTACTTTGTCTTTGGCTGCCCTTGCTTTGAGAGAGATCTCTTTTGATCACAGAGATAATTTCTATCTCAAGAAGTTGCTCTGTAAAGGTAAATCTTATGTAGGGACTGTTTAGAGCAGAGGTTCCCAGCCACTGGGCCATGGCCCAGTACCGGGCCACGAAGGGTTGGCTGCCAGGTTGTGGCACAAGGTTCTGTCACCAGCAGTCACATGCGGGATTAAAGCTGGGCAGCAGGGCAGCCCCGGGAGGGAGGCAGCCAGCTCCATGTGCCCTGTCCCGCTCCTGCCTCCATGGCCATGCCTGGCAAGGTGCTGCCTGTGCAGCAGGTACCAGGGCCTGCGCCAGGCTGGGTAGGACTGCCCAGCCCCACCCGCAGCTGGAAGCAGGGGAAATGCCAGGGAGGCAAGCAGGGAGGCAGCTCCACTGGTTGCTCCTAGAGAAGGCAGCGGAGCCCCTTCTTCCCAAGCAGCTCCATCTGGGCCACCGCCATCCTGGGCCACCGCCTGCCTAGCCCCCTCCACTGCAGAGTCCACCGGTGCCTGCAGCTGCAATGCCCCAACCCAATCTGATTCTCTCAACCCCCCCCCCATGTAAAAATTTAATTTAAATTGTAAATTAAAGTTAAATATGTAAATTAATTTGCAAGTCTGCAGTATAAAAAAGGTTGGGAACCCCTGGTTTAGAGCACACAGGGTATGGCTACACTGGTGATTATCAACCAGGATGCTACAGCACTCTGGAGTCCCTTGAAATATTTTCAAGGGGTGCACCAATATATCAGTTGACTATCCATTCGGCACTGATAAGAGGAGAAATTACATTATCGACTATTCCCTTTTTTTGGTCATTATAGCCGATAATTATGGCCACATGCCTAGAGCACCCCAGTGAACATAGTCTGGTCCCTGCATCCCACTGCCAGCTCAAGCCTGCAGCGGACTACAGGTCCCAGCGAGAAGTGGGAGGGGGTTCCGGGAAGCAGTCACAGGGTGCCATGCTCAACAACAAAGGGATCGTTACCGGCTCCTGCTGCTGCAGCTGGTGCCATGCATGGCAATGCCACATGCGCAGCAGAGACCTGAGTGTCAGGGCTGCCACAGAGGCATTGGGCTGCATGCGGGTGGGGTGGGGTAAGGCACCGTGCGAAAAACATTCCGCTCTCCTGGGCACTGGGCGCCTTTGCAAAAGCAGCTTCTCCCTGGCGGCTGCAGGAGCTTGGCTGCATGGTGCTCATCAGCAATGAGGCAGTGGCATGCTCTGGGGCTCCAAACATGACCGGCACCACTGTCCACATGAGGGTCTGCCCTGCCCACCCAGGACACCAGCATGAGCTGCACAGGGAGCAGGGCTGCGGGTAGTAGCCATGGGCGAAGAGGCAAATGTGCATGGGAATAAGGCCAGAGCAGGCAGGAGGTATCTGTATGTGTGTTATAAATGCAAAACAAACAAACAAAAAGGTTTATTTTTTCAGTAGTTTAAAATGCCTTGCGCTATTACTAAATATTGGTTATTGGCTTGGTATCAGCTGATATGGTTGGTTAATCATCAGCTATTGTAATTGTCCAAGAAAATCTTTACCGGTGCACAAGTGTGTTGTGGGGTGCCATGCAAAGTTAGCACATTAGGTGTGCAAGCACAATTCATCAGATAAACCCAGACATTTCAAAGAGGAATCTGTAATTCTGACTTCTTGTGTTCTTTCTGAGTTCTTTGCACCAGAAGAATTGTTCTATTATCTTTTTGTAGTTAAAGATTGAGAGAAAGTGAAGAGCTGGCATTTTCCAAGGGGTGCCTTGAGTCTAGTGAAGGGTACTCTGAATCTAAAAAGGTTGAGAACCACTAGTCTACACCGTGGCAGCGACATGTCCCAACCAGGGTGTTCCCAAACTTGTTCATACACACCAAGCCCGGAAATAGTTCAGGGAAGGCGCTCAGTCCTT